CCGTCTCCCCAAGCAACCCCAACTGCCCTCGGGTTCTTCTGCCACCTCTGCACTGACAGCTTCCTGCTTAACATCTCTTACCCTGACTTCTGCCTTTGCTTCAGACTGAATTACAGCGGGACATCTCCTGGGTGTTCCCACATGCACTTTACACTGAATCTGACTGAAACTGAGTGTATCTTTTCCCCCCAAAACCTGTTCCTGTTCTTATTCTCCATCTCAGTTCATAATATCACCATCTGCTCAGACATACAAGCTTGAAACTGAGCACCTCCCTTTAATTGTCCTCTCTCAAGGCCCATTCCCAGTCCCCACCAAGCCCTCCTTTCTGTTCCTACCTCCTCTTGTTGCTGAGTTCAGGCCTGTGTCTCCCTCTACAACAGCCTGTAACTGGTTCCCCTGGCTCCAGTCTTATGCTCCTCAAATCTATCCTACATTCTACCCAAAGTTATCTTTAAAAAAATTAAAAAATAAAACCTCAAAGTGATCATGTCATTGCCCTACTTAAAATCTTTATGACTTTCCCCTGTGCATGAAAACAGACATAAAGTCAGTGTTAGATGAATCTAAGGTTTTCTCCTCTGCCCTCTTCTCCAGCCCACCTCCCCTCACCCTGGTTTTGGAATCTCCTCAGACTGTGTGGATTGTGGGAACCATGAGTAGCTCCCTGTCCCTGCCCCTCTGTTTCTCACCTCTGGGTCGTTGCTCAGTTTGTCCTCTCCTGGGAATTCCCTCCCCCCCACTTCTTCCACAGGCTTCACCCTTACCAGCTCCTCTCCATCCTTCCACACTCAGCTCCAGGAAGCCAGCCCCATTTGGGAAAATGCCCCCTTGGCATATATGTCTTTGTCACTTCATCAGCGCCCTGTAAAAATGTGTGGGTTGTGTAGAAGTCAATCAGTCATCCTGTCTGTCTGTCTGTCTATCTTTCTCATCAGACCAGTGCTCTCAAATCTGGCTGAACTTTGTAATCAGCTGGGCTCCGGCCCCAGAGATCACGACCTAACTGGTTTGGAAGGGGAACTGGGCACCTGAGGAGCATTCACTAGACCACGGGCTCCTGGAGGACAGATTGTGTTACGTTCACATCACTGTATCTCACACAAGGTGGGGCATAGGGTCAGAGCTCAGTAAAACCTCACTAATGCTTATTAACAAATGGCTCTGCTGGCAGTGTGTGTAATCCCTTTTTCCCTTTAGTCCGCAGTTCCGAAAAGCAGATCTGCAGCCCAGTGGCATCCCTTGAATTACTTGGAGAACCTTTAAAAAATACTGATTCAGGGTCTTATCCTCAGAGATTTGATGAGTAAGGGAGCAGTGGTGCCAGAATCTGTAAACGTTCTCTGGGTGCTGGTTTGGGGAGGCCAGGTTTGGTAATACTATTTTAGCTAATCCTCTCATCCAGAATCATCTTTAGTGTCCCCTACTCTAGAAGCCTTCCTTGACTAGTCACCCCACCATCCTGGCTGCCGCACACCAGGAGATGGACTAAGGCCCCTCCCTTGTCCCCGCTTCACACTCTGTTTCCCTCCATGCTTCACACTGTGTGCAGAGAGTCAGTTTTCTTGTGTAGATCTTTCAGACTCCCCCTCTCAGGCAAAGTCTGTGTCTTCTTTCTACTTGTATATGCACTGCTTGGACAGCACCAGACACATACTAGGCACCCAGTAGAGACGAGCTGAAATGGAAAGAAGAGGGAGAAGTGTGGATGCTGTATGCCCTCTGTTTCCTCAAGTTTTCCCAGCTGCCCTTGACGTGGTGGCCCCGATACCTTCCGCTGAGTCACAGCTACCTCTGTTACCTATTTACTTACTATTGCATCTGCATCATCCAGCTGCTATTGTAGAGCTGGAACCCTTCAACCCTGCCTGTGACTGCCTTGAGAATTCAATAACTGAATATATGTAATGACTTTGATCAGAGCTTAGCAACAGAAAGCACCGGATAAGGGTTAACTCTGGCTGTTGATGTTACCGCTCTTGCCCTCCACACTCCCACCCCGGTTTTACAATGCCCTTGCTGGGCACACATCCTCCCTCCCTGCCTTCTAGGCTGAGTCTTCCCCATGCTGTGCACCGTGCAGAGCTGGCTGCCTCACCTGCTCCTTTACCACATTCAGCCCCAAGCTTCTGGAAAACCAGAGAGGCCTCCAGCTGTTGCATCCTTCTACTTTAATTGAAAATCAGTTTGTTTATCAACAAACAAAGTCAACCTGCAGCAAAGCATCAGTACTGTCTTATACCAGGAATTCTAGACCTGCCCCTGCTTCTTCTCGCCCAAAGGTAGGCTGAGTGCCAGGGATGGCTCCCCATGGTGCTCAGGCAACAACCCTTCTCTGGGTTTGGATACAAGGAACTGCATGTGTGGCTGCACACACAGGCAGAATACTGGAGAGTATTTTGTGAGGCTAAGTGTATTCATTTCTTAGGGCTACTATAACAAATTCCCCAAACTGGATGGCTTTAAACAACAGAAATTTATTCTCTCACAGTTCTGGAGGCCAGATGCCCAAACATTCCTCTTTTTTTACTTAAAAAGATACCAGCCATCTGATTTCAGGCTCATCCTAAATCCAGAATGATTTCATCTTGAGATCTCTAATTAATTATATCTGCAAAGACCTTATTTCCAAATAAGGTCACATTTGGAAGTCCTGAGTGGACACAAATTTTGCAGGGACACTATTCAACCCCCTACACTAAATATTCAGCTAAGACGGAAGTTACATTTATTGTTGTCTAATAATAAGGGCCAAAGCAACCTCTGGAACATTTTCTTCTTCCTAAGTTTCTGCTCTCTGCTCTGAAAAAGAAGTTGGTACAGTTTGCAGCAACACATAGTCCGGTGGTGCTGAGCCGTTGCAATGGAAAGGCAAAAGTCAATTCTAATAAACAGGAAACGGAAAGGGACATGATATCCAGAAATACAGCTGAGCAAAGCTCTGGTTCTTGAGTCTCCTCGAAGTTGATGTAGAGATGAACCCCTGATGAATTATATCTCCTTTACCTTCGATTAGGTCAGGAAGAGAGAGACAAACTCTCCCTTGATCCTGAGTGTAGAAAGAAAGTTTTTCCATGCGGACCCAGAATTTTAGAACAGAGGCCTTCTGGAGACAGGTTCTTCTACTGCCTCCCCTTAAAAGCTGAGACACAGTGGCAATTTGTCATCATATAAAGGCAATGATAGCATGAAGGAGGGAGGCCCAGGCTCCAGCAAGTTCCTTATGGTATAAAGGGCAGAGAAATATAAAAGGTTAGCACTTAACAGATCCTTTGGGGTGGGGCTTGGGGAGTGAGTAGGTTACATTTATTGTCAGTTGCTGTGTTCCCCACTTCATAAATATTTTCTCAATTTGGTCACATCAACACAATTCAGGTGCAGTGTTAGGCTGGGGGCACAGAGATAAGTTGAACATGTTTCCTGATCATAACGGATCCAGGGCCCAGCAGAGAAAGGCCAAATAGCAGTTGCTAGGAGGGCCACATGCAGGAGCCAGGGAGCAGACAAATCATAGATGCAATTACCAGTTAGTACTCAGAAAGTAGGTCCTTTCTGAAATTGCACCTGAGGAATCTGCAACTTAAACCTTCAGGTTCTGGCAGGTTCCAGTTGTTATATGACCTGAGCTCTGGGGGGCAAAATGAATGTATTTCTTCTATGTCTACATTTTGTTATAACTTCCATTGTCTAATGACAAAAACTTATTCTACTCATGCCCAGATACTTGCAGCAGTCATTTTTTGTGAGTTTTTCAGAGACGTTTCAGACTTAAACTCTATCCATTTCATTATCTTCCCAGTCCCTTGATCCCTGGAGCTGATGATGGAACCAGGGGTCTGACACAGCCACACATGGACCCCCTTGCCAGTGCGAGGGAGCGGTACTTCCTCATCTGCCTCTCCCTGCTCTGGGCTGCTGTCTTATGAGATACCACATGCTCTATCAGGTCCCTGGCTCCATAGTGCCATCCTCTGAGATGTCACCCTGTCTCAATCTAATCCCCAGCTGGAGGGACACCTTCACCATCCTCTGCTGTGACATCAGCTCTTTCTCAGCTGATTTTGTGCCCTGTTCAGTAGCTAGTGTGCACGCCCAGGGACTCAGCACTCTGCTCTGCTCTAGGACTACAAGAAGCATAGGGGCTTCTCTCTCTCTCACTCAAGGATGCATCCATGTCTCCATTACTACTTCTTGCCTGCTGAGCCCCAACAGCTCATGGACCACCTCTCTGATATACCCAGGAAGTGAGGGATGCAAGTACTCTTTGGGTCAGGCCCCCAAGCTGAAAGAGAGAGTCTGCTTCTTCCACATGGGCTTGGTCTTAGGAGGCACAAAGCCAGGCTCTTCCAGATGTGAAGGGTAAGCTTCAAATGCTAACTGCAGGCCCAGGTTGATTGCATTTGAATCTCAGCTCCACCATTTATTAGCTGTGGGCCTCTGGACAAGTTCCCAAAGAAGTCACTGAACATCTCCTTTGTCTCAACTCCTCATCTGTAAAATAAGGAGTTGAATAGGTTTAAATGGGACACTCTACATACACATAGGTATATACGTATGTCTCATCGACAACAGAACCTCTCACATTGTGTTATGTAAGCCTTAGCTGTTATGATGATTAGGAATAGTATTGGAATTAGCATTATTCCACCATCAGCTCTTTCCCCTTCCCTCCCGCTTCTCGCTTCTCAGCTCAGAATCTCTCTTCTTGTATCTTGAGGCAGGGAAACCTTACTCCGACTGTATTCTTCCCATTTCTTTCACCTACACCCAGATTTTCATTTATTTTTAACAGCCTTTGATGACAGACCCCATCAATGCTGACCTCATGTTTTAGAGCCCAAATAGGGTGGTTATGGGGTTAAGACTCATATGGGGAAATACATGAGTTAAGTTCCCACCTTGTCCCTTCACTAGACAGACTCCCAGAATCCTCATTGGGGAGGTTTGGCGGTAACTGTGCCCTGTGGTGGCTGCATCTCTGTGTTTGCCTCCCTGTGCAGGACTCAGGGATCGACATTGGGGACATCACTGCAAGGAAGGCCCTGAGAAAACAGCTGCGGTGCAAAACCTTCCGGTGGTACCTGGTCAGCGTGTACCCAGAGATGAGGATGTACGCAGACATCATTGCCTATGGCTTGGTAAGGAGCCACAGCCTCAGGGTTTCATTCAGCCACAAAGACCAGGGGCACAGGGATGCACAGAGTCAGAATGAGAAAGAGGCCATCGCTTTCCCGTGTGGGGCTTGTGCTGGACCAGCAGACGAGACGCAGCCTCTGCTTTCATAGCCTGAATCTCTCTACTTGCTTGAGAGAGGTGTTTAGTCTCTCCTTTCGAGTCCTAAGAAATTCAGTTCTAGCCCCAGACCTGCATATTCCACTTAATAGAGCATAAACCTGCAATTTGGTTAAGATCATAAGACAGCTTAACAATCAGCTGCTGCTTGCAAGCAAGAGGGCCTGAGGTGCATAAATATCTTACATAAATATCTTGCATATCTTATATTCCTTGGTGATTTTCTGAGGTTAAAATACTCTGAACATAATAAATTCTCCCATTCTCCCAATATTCTCAGCACCAACAACTCAAGATGTTTTAAGTGACACCTGGTAGATTTTTGATATCTCACCTAGTTTTTGCTCACTGAACACATAGCATTTTTCTATAGACAGTTAAGCCCTTGAAACTACCTCTCTTACCTCCCGCCATGGTACAGGGTGGGCACAGAGAGGCAGAGTGACTTGCCCATGTTCACAACAGCAAAGCTGTCTAAAAATCAGCTTCTGGTATCGTCCCGATTCCTCCCTTTGGAGACTGTCCCCTAAGACCTTTCTGATGTTCCAGGATGAAATTTGAAGGGAAAACTAGACCTCTCCCTTTGAATGACTTGCCCATGTTCACAACAGCAAAGCTGTCTAAAAATCAGCTTCTGGTATCGTCCCGATTCCTCCCTTTGGAGACTGTCCCCTAAGACCTTTCTGATGTTCCAGGATGAAATTTGAAGGGAAAACTAGACCTCTCCTTTTGATATCATGGTCAGAATTCAAGAATTCTGACCTCTTAGAAACATAAAGGGCGCAGCGTCTGCCTGGGAAGGGAAGAAGTCTTGCTAAGGACTGGCCTCCATGCTCTTCGGGAGCCTCCCAGCTCTAACAGCCTAGGATTCTCAAGGAGACAGTGTGCAGATCCAGGGACTTCCCTCCCCCAACCAGGCCTCTGTGGTCCAGGGGGCCAGCCTGTAGGAGAGGGCCCTATCCTCCCAAGAGTCCCTATGGCATGGTTGGCATGTCCTGAGAGAACTACCCAGTGGCCACTTGCCTCTCCACCTCTCAGGCTGGTGTCATTTGGATGTCAGAAAAACTCCTCAGCTGGTGCTGCCCAGCAATTAATTACCTGAGGCTCCAGACCCTGCTGTCCCCCTGGAAACACACAGACAATGAGGGGCCCGTGAGCCCTGTCTGCCTCCCCAGAACCATCCTGAGGACACACTGCTCCCTCTGCCCACGGCAAGTTGTGTGTGCTGCTCAGCCATTGTTGGGCCCAACCCAGAAAGGATAGTTATGCTATGGTGGCTCCTGAGAAACCACTGGCCGCAAACCTGTGAGCCAGGTCAAGCTTCTGGATTCATGTTCTCACTAGGTTTTCCGCTGTAGCTGAATAATTTTGCCAAACTCCTTCAGAGGCAGGGAAGGCAATAAGAGTGGAGGTGTGTGCGTGCAGCTGTTCTGGTTCTGGGTCTTGGCCAAAGGCATTCTTGTCTTCTGAGCTAAAGTGTCTCATCTTACAAACACGTACAGCAGGTTTACCACATAGCCAGAAACCTTTGGTTGATTGAAAGCCAGTCAGTGGCATGTACAAGGTTGTGATCTGATCTGACTGAATCCATAGTTGGGGATGTTTTCACACTGACGTGCTGAAAAGCCACCCACTCATCACCCCAAAGGGACGAGCTGTGTTAGCCATCCCTGGGGCTGGCAGAGGTCTCTGACCCCTGCATGCTCATCTGCCAGCCACTGCTCGGTGCCCAGGCAGCCTCCCCTCCCGCCTCCCGCCTCCCTCCTCCACAGGCTGGCCTCTGACATGAGCAGCGACATGCTTGCTTGTCAAGGAGAGTAATGAACTCTTAATGGGGGCAATAGGGTAAAGATGGGCACCGTAGGAAGCAGCCACAGGAGTAAGAGGATTTGCTGGGGCTCCATTGTTCTTCCTGATGATTATTTTTGTTCTGAAATGGAAACATTAGATGTCTTCTCAGAGGCAGAGTTTCTTTTTCTTTTCCTATTCTAACTTATGCCCATACTACATTGCTCAGGGCAAATAACCTCCTAGGAGTTAGTGCAATGTGGGTCAAGTCTATAACCCAGCCCATTAATCCACAAATAGGTCCCATTAATGACTCGAGCAGGCCTGTGGACCCATTGGGTGGGCATGGGCTTCCCTGGATCACCGAGCTCCATGTCTGGGAGACGGTCTTGGGGTTAATCCCAGCTCTGGTGCTGACAACAGAGATACAGCAGTATGTGGAAACAGATA